ACTTGGACAACTCTAATGACAGTGATCAAAAATGTGCTATATTTGGCTGGTAGGCATTCTTGTCTGCAAGTTCTTGAGCATGTGTTCCAGTTCTTGGGGATAAGAACAAAAAGTGAGGCACTAGTTAATTTTTGGTATAAGGCTTCAAGCAAGTATAGAAATAGAGGGGGTTTTGTATTAGAAAAAAGGCAACTTTCTCAGCAGAATTATTTTCATCACTTTCCACCCACATCCAAAACTAATCTTTCCTGTCAACCCACTTGCTTTTTTTGTTTTCCTGACTGGATGAAATAATACAGCTAGGCTATTCTTTCCTCCCACCAACTCATCCAATGCTCTTGGAAGTTATTTTAGACATCAAGTTTCATTTATTATCTGAAGTAATAAGCATAAATCCAGTTTTAAGGAAAATGCAGTTTTGTAAAACACTATTGCATAGATCTTCCATTCTGTGTGCTCCATCTGCATGTGCAATCTGCTTCTATATTTTCAGCCAGCTTGCATGGGCAGATTAATGCATACAATTAGAAAGCAACCTCACAGGCGTTCAATAAACTGCCTTCATTATTACACTCAAGAGAGTCCCTTTGGATGTCTATAAAAGCCTAGTTTTCTGCCTGTTAGCTAAATAATTGACAACGCTTAAAATAATCAGGAGCAAACGAACAAAACGAAGACCATTGTGGTGAAAAGAGGCAAACAAAAGATTCTCAAGGCTGTAACCCCTTTTTGTGTGAGCCCTCTTTCATTCTCTCCAGCAACCAATATTAAAAGTCAGGTCAGGTTTACATTTGCACTTGTGTGAGGAAAATTTGTTACCAGCCTGCTGTTTGAACCACACATCATAGGGGACTGAAAACTGGCAAGGACACTAGTATTTATTCTGTAAAAACAGATAAATAAATAAAAATTCTGTTTAGATTCAGGTTTTATTTTCTTGCATTTTATGACTTTTGAGAAAACTGCTTTGGCAGGCAAGTGTGTATCAGCTTGGTTCGGTGAATCTCCTGTGCTGTGTTTGGAATACACACTTGGAGAGACTGGCAAATTCTGTTCCCAGCTCCAAATTCTGAGCAGAATATATTGAGTGCACACATGTACAAAAGTGCAGCATTGCCAGGAATTTTTACAGGAGTAAAACCTTCACAAAAACAGAGGCATGAATATGCAACAAAGGGAAAGATGAAGTGATACAACAGCCATCATGTACCATTAGAAAGAATCCCTATGTGCTAGACTGCTTTTCCCTTTACATAAATAGGAAGAGAGCTATTAGAAAAGCAGTGGACTACATCCAACAGTACAGTTTCTGGGAAGTCAAATTCAAATTAAATAAAAGCACTTTACTAGACACCTGGGCTAATATCTTATGGTGAGACATGTTACAGTTCAGGCCGAGTTTAATACAGCCTGCACAGCAAGACACAGAGAAAAGCAAGTAATGAATTAGCCATCCTTCATTACTTTTTAAATGACAGTATCCTAATTAAAGAGACATGTCCTTAAAAGTCCTGGTCAGCCATCTAACCTTCATTCCCATTTGGAAAGAGGGACACTCAGTCCTTTCCTTAAAAGGATTAGCAATTGCAAAGTATGAACTATGCAAGTGTTCATTATCTATTAAAGGACTCTAAACACCATCCCTACCACAGGTCATCAATGTAAAAGACATCCAAGACACCATTACTCAGAAGGAAGGACTCTGTTTCATGTGTAACTAGTTTCTGGTAGGAAAGTGCATGCATACTCCTTATTTTCTAGATCTGGTATCTGCAGAGGCAGAACCACAGCAATTATTAACACCAAAAAATCCCTCAAGTGTTTCTCCTCTGTTAGTACAAACCACGGCAATTCTGCCATGCAGCACCTTCCCCAGCCAAAGTGCGCTTTTGTGTGCTGTTCAGGCTTTGTATACACAGCTACTTCAGGAGATACCTTGTGGGTTTTGTCCATTTTAGTCACATAATAAAACTTTGTTCATCTTAGCCAGAGGAGCTGCTGATCCCGAAAGAGAAAGACTTACAGACTTTTCCACAGTGCTCTGCATAAGTGTCTAGACTTCATTCTCACAAGACACAAATACATGCTCAAGCAAATGTGATAACAGATATAGTTGACTTTCAAGGGCTGGACATACACAAAGAAGCTAACAAGTCCTTCAAAGGATGAGCAATAACTGTATTCTGCAGATGGTGGACAAGGTTGCAGACAATTGTCCCTCTTGGCATCCGCTTACTTCATATTACACCCTTTGAAAGAGGGTTTCAGTGAGGAGTTCCTTCTTTTGATAATGACAGGGATTTAATCGGAACAATGAACTTCTGGGCAGCATTGTACTTTATTGTCAGAGTATGTTAATGACATAAGACTCTTAAGTGCCTTTCCATATCAAATAGGAACAGCACTTTATACAAGAGAGGTACTGATTGGGCTGTACCCCATGGAGGCAGATACAGCTAGAGGTGGTGATCAATTTTAAAAGGTTTTCCAGCTAATGAGACTGCTGGTAGGCATTGATCTCCTCAGGAAAATTGTGATGTTGTCATTACAGATGCTTACAGAGAACAGACTAACAAGGCAGCTTATCTTTTGAAATGGCTCCACAGGCCATGACTTTGCAGAGGTCATTGCTTTATATGCAGCACATAATCTTCTTTCCCCCCCTCTCCCAGCAAGCAGAGAAGGAGATTAAAATACTCTGGCAGAGACCGCAAGGAAAGGGGCAAAACCTCATATTTGTTCTCTTCGCCTCTAGGCTTTTAGATGAAGGAAGTAATGAGTCACTCATTTTTGCATAGTATGCAAAAGCACAGCTTTAATACCAAGCACTTTTCTGTGAACATGTTTCTAATAACCAGCAATATATAGTAGAGTTACTTTACAAGATTTGAGATGTTGCACAGTTATCTTCCCATCACTACTGGATGTTGTGCTCTATAATGCCAATGTATCTTAGCAATACAACCTCAACAACATTACTGCTCAAGACCTCTATTCCTCTGCCCATCAGAGGATTCCTTTGGACCACAGAAGGCACTAGTGTCACTCTGTGCAGCATGGGAGGTTTTCTGGTTAACCAAAATTGCATTCACTGTAGGTAGGTTTTCAGCTCTTCTCCAGGTGCAGTATCTACAGGGCCCTCCCAATGTACGTTCAATACATTATACATACAAATAATCTTCTGAGAGTTGAATATAATCTCAAGCAATGGAGCTTATCTTTATCTTCAGTTGCATCAGCCAGTTTGGTTTCCTAAGGTAACATCAGCTGAATGCTCATAAGGTTCTCCTAAGTCAGTGGATAGGATGTCCACCTGTCAGTCTCCTTCTCAGTGTCCAGGCAGCCTGAGCTCCTGCACCACCTAGGGTTCAACCAATTGCCCTGGTGAAGGTGTTTCAGAGGGTTTGGGCCTCACCAAGCTTTCTTTTAATGGAAAAAGCACTTATCAGCAGAATTCATTTCTCCCTAAGCAAAACAAAGTACAGACAGGGAAGATGAGGGCAAGGAAGAGATATGTCTCTATTCATAAACGAATGAGTCTTAAGACAAAAAAAATTATCAGATTAAACATGAAGATAAGAACCCTAACAGCTCCCTCAGGAAAAAGCAAGCGCCATAACAGAGGACCCTGCACTGAAAGCATCTGATGAGGTTGTCCCTGATTTAGGCTCAAAGAGCATAAAGGTGTCTAGTCTGACAGAAAGAGGCAGAGATCTAAACCTGTGCAGGGTCTTCAGAAAACCTGAGGAACCAAGGTGTGTGTGTGTGAAATCCAGATTAGGACAAACACATATCAGGAAAAATACCAATATCTAGAAACAAATGTTGGCAATATATTGATGGAGAGAGCTGTACCTAAAGCAGAAGAAATAATGAGAAGAAATAAAAGGAAAAAGTGAAGGAAGGCTGAGATGAGTAAGTAAACACTAAAATGTCTACAGAACTTAGTCTGGCAAGTGATGAAGGAACTGGAGCTACTAACATGCGACAAAAGAGACTCCTTTAAAGGTCACAGAGGAGGAAAGAGCAATCAATCATACTGAGAACACAGGTGAGTAATTTCAGGAGTCAAAGATAAAAAAAGGTGAAGGTGACTAAACAGCATTGTTTGTTAATTATGTGATGGAATTGATTTGGATCAGTTAAAAATAAATAAATAGGGTAGAGTGAACTGGTAAGGCAGGAACTTCACTGCCAATGGAATTAATTATGTCAGGAGTTTAGCCATATCTAAATCTGACAGTAAGGAGCTATTCTCGAGAAACAGGTCTTCATAGCAGATCTCTACTGCTGTAGGACTATGCTAAATATAGTAAGTCCTCATTATCTCCATGTGGGTTAGATTTCTTTACTAGACACTAAAATAAATGGGTGGAGATGTAATTTAGATCCTGTTTCGATAATTAGTCTAGGATTCAATGATCACATATTGATTCAGTTAGAGAAAGAAAGCACAAAGTTTGTTTATAATTCACGGTTTTAATTTCAAAGTGTACATTTTGACGAGCTAAGAGAAATCCACTGAACCAAATTGCTCACAGAATAAGGTATGGAGGAGGCTTGGAATATTTCACAGAATCACAGAGTGATTGAGGTTGGATGGGTCCTCTGGAGGACATCTGGCCCAACCCCACTGCTCAAGCAGGGCCACCTAAAGTCAGTTGCCCAAGACCATGGCCAGACAGCTTTTTAATATCTCCAAGGAAGGAGACTCCACAACCTCCCTGGGTGACCTTTGCCAGTGCTCAGTCATCATCAGAGAAAAAAGCGTTTCCTGATGTTCAAAGGGAACCTCAGTATTTTAGACTCCCATTGCTTCTTGTCCTGAAGTCAAATGTTTCAAGTATAAAAGTGGAAAAACCAACAACTGAAGCCAAACTCTACTCTAGCCCTAAAAGAAACAAAATCAATCAACCAACCAACCAACCAAAACAATCCCTCAAAACCAAAAGAACAGGAAGATGAGGAATTTTAAGTAATAAGTTTCAGATTTTACTTACTAATATTGATCTTCAAGGAACATCTCTGTTCTTTACATTTCTTGTTGCCTTTTTTAACTTCAAGTCTCTCTGCCTACAGCAATAAAAACAGGAAAACATACTTGAGTTTTCCAGCAAGCCATAAACAGACTGATTATTTCAATTCAAGTATTTTAATATTCTGTTTTTCAAAACAATTATAGTAGCTGTTGTGTACAAAAGTCACTCAATCCCAAATTTAAAAGTGTTCAGACATGGCCAAACAGCTCCTAGTAAACTTGTCAAGAGACCAGTCTGAAAGAGAAAACTGCACTGTGCTGCTGGTGGACACATCCATCCTCACAAGCCATCGTAAGCCATCACAGGTCTCACACCACAGCACCTCTGGGGCCATCTCTCAGTGTGGCTGATGTGATGTTAGCCCTAGTAAGAAGGTAGAGGATGTGAACAACCTCATCAAAGCAGATGGTGGTCTTGCAGCACTGAAAGCGCAGTAATACAAGTACATGTAGCTCTGCGCATAGATATTCAGAAGCATTAGGTACTGGCCAGTTGAATACATGCTAAGATGGGTGAAATTGAGAGACATTTGTACATTATATCCAGTGTTATTCTGCCTCAAATACCATGCCCAGTACAAGAGTCAAAAAATCTTTGACACACAATAGTTCTCTGGAAATCTAGACACCACGCAAGTTATTAAGTCCTTTAATATAAAATTGCACATAATTTCCAGTGGAACGGTCATCTAAGCTGCCCTACCCTCCAAATTCAAGTTGAATAAAACATTTAAATAAGGCAGAAACTAGAGAACTTGCTGCAGCAGCAATATGTAGCTTAAGCTAAATTCCAGTCAAAAGGCCAGCCACATTTTTTTTGACATGCAAGCTGTAGGTAGGTCCAGTGGGAAGAGCAGTAGAAAGGCAGTTCAATGCATTAAAAGCACAGAACAGAAGTGCCAAGCTGGGATTTCTGCCCTGCTATATTTTGAGCGCAACTCCCACACTGCAGTTGGTGGGGGGATGCTCCAACAAGAGCTCCCACACGAGGTTCACAAGGACCGGCGCATTAAGCAACCTGCCATCTCAGACAGTCTCTCCGCTCAGCCCCCATCCTCAAAATGAAAAAAGTGTTTGGTAACCAAGCAACCAGACATTGTTCTAAATGAAGTGCCCTGGCAATTTCAGACAATACCTTGCAGAGACGAGTAGGGATTTGTAGGTGGGAATGGCCTGTTCGATCCGAGCCCCAAATCAGGGAGAGAACACTGTACCTGAGTAGAGGTATTGTGCAAGGCTAGGTAGAATGGGGTGAGTGTGTGCAAGGGTGAAAGCGGTGTTAAGAACAGGGCTGTAACCCCCGCCCCCATAATTTGCCTCCTGTCCTGCAATCAATAACATTTCAGAAAAATTACAATTCTACTGGCAGTTACTCAATTACTTTGCCTTCAGTGATTTCAGGGCGGGAATTTTTTAATTGGATAAAGAATGACTGCCTGGAAGAGATTTGCAAAACAACTGCAAATTCCTGCTCAGCATGTATTGGATTAAAGAAAAATAACCTTGTCAGATGTCTGCATATAGGAAAAGAGCCACTGTGCTGTGGCTCTCTGAATAAGGTGCTCTGTTGCTCAGTCATTTGAAATGTTGAGACAGTGGTAGAATGTATGAAGTATTGATTAATTTTTTAAAAATAATCAAACTAAAGTAAAGAATATCACCCCATAATACAGGTTAATTTTAATAGTGTTCAAGATCTATCTTGTTTGTTCCTAACCCCTCCACTCAGAGACAGATGATTTTTTAGGCAAACAACTCCCACCCATCTGTGCAACTTAACAATTTACAGGGAAAGAAAGGAAAGAGGGAGAGAAAAAAACCTGATGGCATCTATTATTGCCAAAGGTGATGTTGATACCCTCAAGACACCAGGAATTGCTCCTGGGCTTTTCCCAACAACTGCTCAACGATGAAAGCTGATGCTTTCACCTCTGACAAAGCATTTGACATGGGATCAACCATCATATTGCAAGGCTTCTGAAAGTTCACATCCAAAGCTCACCGAAGTTGCTGTGGTCTAGCTCCTAGCTAGAACAACACAGTGATATTAACTTTGATAAATATGATCGTTCAGTATAACTCATCTCCCCCTAGATAAAAAGGTAGGAAGCATCCTACAGTTATTCTACCACCAGAATGGTGCCTGAAGAAAAATCCAGTGTATTGAAATTATTTCCTTGTGGCTGGTGCGACTGTTTTCTGCTCTGGAGGTTTATCCCAGGACCCCTGCTTAGGATGCATACAAATGACAGGCAACAGGATTGGGACATTCTCTAACTAATGACAATCTATCGATAGACATTGCCAAAGCACTCCACATTTGGCACTGTCTTCAAAAACAAAGCCAAGAGTGGAACAGCTGTGATATTGAAGGTAAACATGTTGAAAAGCATTAGCAGAAGGTCTGTAAAGTGCCTGGTTTTAACAAATTCCTGAAAAAGGCCATTCATGATGATTAACACAGTCAAATTAAAGAGCACATGATTTGATAAAGAATAAAATGAAATTGCAGCTTATTCTAAATAGGACAGTTTCTAAAGATGGCATGACTGTTACTATTTAATATAAGAGCAGAAGAAAATTGCATGCAGTAGAATTACACTGAGCCTTTTGACTTCAAATCTTTTGAATCTTCTAATATTCAGTCAAGATCCAGAATACACAAGGAAAGGCTAAAGGCAGGATAACAGGAACAAAGATTGAATGACAGGAAACAGAAATATCCCATGCACTGAAGTTATGCTATTTTGTGCACAGCACAAATGCCTAAAGCTTTAAAAAACAAGCCAGATATCAGCCACATGCTTGTTTTCTTGGGAACTTTGACAGTCCTTTCATCCAAAAGTTACAAAGGAAGTTATGCTTCAGTCTGGCCAAAATCTGTGGTGTGAAGGGGCTGTACAAAATATACCAAGCTACAGGCGCCTGCTACTAATGAGCAAATAATAATAATGCTACTTCCCATGTACTCTCACACTTTCTGCAAATCACATGTGCATCTCAGCACTAAGGACAAATAGGGACTCCCCTGCTAATGCTACAAAGTCTCCCCCAAATTATTTCAGTGAGCACTCAGAGATCATTAGCTTAGAAGATAATCCAACCTCATGCAGCCCAGGGTTATCCCGTGAACAAATCAAAGCAGTCCCAGGACAAGCTGCCTGACGCAGAGAGCATGTGATCCCAAATCCCATTTACCGCAACACACAGAGGCCTGAGTACCAGCTCACACAAACTGGTCCCGTGGAAAATAGTATGGGATATGTAGCGAGGATCTGCCTTTCTTCTCACTGGCAGCAGGACAGAGACAAGGTAGATGCCGGAAGCATTGGTATTCCTGCACCTAACCTCATGGTTAATTGGAGAATGACAGAGACAGGCAGGTGGACTCGTACAGATGGTAAGGCAGACCTTCCACATTTGCGTACAGCTTTGGCAGACACCCAGCTTTCTCTTGGTCCCAAAGACAACAGAAAGTGGATACTGCTTTTCTTTGCAAACAAGCATTAAAGCAATAACATCAACAGATCCTACGTTCTTAAGCAGCACTGGCTTACAGTACATCATCCTTACAATCAAGGAAGAGCTGAGCTGAGTACCTGCACCTATTCTAGTTATCATACATTAGTCTGCAGGACTTCACCATTCACATTTGTTGGCAAAGTAGCTCTCCAGCTGCTGTGAAAGTTTCAGGACCCCTGCTGATAAAGCTGACAAGCTATTATCTCCTTTCAGACTGTCAGACAATTTGGGTTTCATTGAATGATTAATAACCTGGAGCAAAAGAAGGACTGGCCACCAAGGAAAGGTGGCTTGTGAATTTGCAGAAAGACATGGTCTCAGCTGATGCCCTGCAGATGCAGTTGCCTACAAATCTAGTAAAAAAAAGTTCCTTTCCTGTGCTAACCAGGGCCCAATGCTGGGCCTATAGTACCAAATCTTCATCAACTCAATCACCATTACAGAAGACAAACTGAATAAACAAATTCAAATTAAGAGTTTCCTTTCACATTCCTTTGTTCTGTTTGTTTGCATTATAGGTATATGTTTATTTATTCAAATTAAACGATCTGTTTGGCAAAGATGTTTGCCATGATGTTGCATCCTCCTTTAGAAGAAACTGATAGTTACAGTTTTACTATCTACAACATCTATAAAGATTTTATAATCTGTGGGAGTGAAGGTAAGGAAATTAAAGAGCATGAAAACAAAATTGATACATCAATATATTTTCTAGGTGTAACTATGAATTATAACAGTCTTGCAACATTTTTCTTGTCCAATGCCCATGGACAAACAACAGATATTAAACAGATGAATAAAACATAATTAATCCCCTTTCTACCACTGCTGCCATCACTGTTGCTGGAGCTATACCTGAGCTGGTAACTGTTAATGACATATTCACATGAAAACATTTAATGCCCCTGTGAGCTACTGTGTATGGACTTATGCCCAAGGACTAATGCTAACCACTGAGAGACTGGGAACAGACTAACCCTTACCTAGAGGCAATAAAGACTGTTTTTGTTTATTCTTGTCCTTATACACCATCTATTAGTGATGATTTTTTAATTAACTCTCAGCCTCCAGCTTCTGCACTGATCATTTTTACTGCTGTGAAGACAAAACCCTGAAATCTCCCTTCCTCTTATTACTACTGTGCACATCAGTTTCATGTTCACAAAATAAAACTGAAGATTCTGAAGTGAATTATCGGTGGTGCCAATACATAGCTAACACTACAAGGGAGAGTGATCATACAGATTAGCAATGCATCTGAGTGCAACCCCCAGAGGGGCTGGAGGGGAATCTGAATTTCAGGGTGCACTCAGCACAATGTAGATCAACTACACTATCCTTTTCATGATTCGGGTGCCTTTTTCACCACAACAGGCCAGATTTTCTGGTATATTTTCCATGTGTACAGCAGGCAGTTATGGATTTCTATAAGGTCTTTGTGCCATCTGCCACAATCCAATCTTATGGAGAAAGCTCATGTCAAAGTGAACTATATAACCTGTATACACAACATTAATTCTGACTTTAATGCAATCTGGGCCTACCATTTAATTTGTCTGTTCATAGAATCACAGAATTGTTTGGGTTGGAAGGGACCTTAAAGATCATCCAGTCCAAACCCACTGCCATGGGCGGGGACACCTTCCACCAGACCAGGTTGCCCAAAGCCCTGTCCAACCTGGCCTTGAACACTTCCAGGGAAGGGGCATCCACAGCTTCCCTGGACAACCTGTGCCAGTGTCTCACCACCCTCATAGTGAAGAATTTCTTCCTAGTATCTCATCTAAATCTACCCTATTTCAGTTTGAAACTATTATCCCTCGTCCCATGTAGTTCAGTGAAATCAAGCAGCAAGACATGAATTTTCTTATATGGTTCCAATTCTGCAGTAACCATACTTACTTTTGCTCTCTGAATTGCTTACTTTTTTAGGATTTCAGCTTCTTCAGCTCCCTTTTTTGCTTTCATGTATTCTTCTCTCTTGTGCTGTATGTAATAAGTATAGAAAATTATTCTGTATATGTATGTATACAAAGAACACATAAGGTAACTTAACTTGACTCCTGTACTGCACATCTTTCAACCTAAAGTGTGTTTGAGGAAAGTTTCCAGATTTCTTTTTTAAATGAGGCATGAATAAAGCAGGTTGTGGACCAGCTACTCCAGTAGTGGCTTTACGAAGGCTTAGAAATCTAGGACTGATAAATAGGCATCCATGCAAGGAATCACACAGCTGATTGATAACTTACAAGCATTTCTACCTTTTATAACAGGAATAACATTTCTACAATACATAAGCACTGGATGGGGTGGTATATTGATCAATTAGTTGCAGCATAGGCAAGTATGCCGGAAGATACAGTAAGGCATGTAAGTGACTTTATAACTGTAGTGGTTATCATTTTAGATATGATCTGTGATGCAGGTTGCTACATATTTGTAGCCAGATTTCTCATTTTCTTTGATGCAGAGCAGCTGTTTCTAGTTTTCTGCTGCTTTTTTCAGGTTTCTTGACTTTCTTTTGTCAAGCAGCTGTGAGTTCATTTTATAACCATATGAAACAGTTCATGAAAAGCTTTTTTTGAGATCTTAAAATAAACAAACATATTTATTCTTCCTGACCTTTTGCTGGTATTTAGATTGCATGAGCATCATTTGCCGTTTTTGCCTTGCTTAAGCTTCTGATTCCTTTCCACCTTAAAAAAAAAAAAGTATAAATTGCATTTTGCATGAACATTTTAAGTTCAAATGCCAGTCATTTCAGAACAGAGCAATATAACAGATTGGATGTATGCATATAGAGGAATTTTTTCATAATTACAGTAGCTGTCTGACATTAAAGAGAACAGACAGGAGACCTTTTTGATCAATTTATCCATCCGTCAAAAGCAGTAGCTTGTTATTTACAGAGCATCCACTGTATCATCCACTCTACCAGCAAATATGTCCTACAATAAATGATCAGTTTACTGAGAAACTATTCCATTTTCAGAAAATCAGTCATGCTTTGCAGATGAGTCTTCATTTTCAGACCCAGCTCTCCCCACCTTTGCTCACTTTGTCACACACAGAGTCAGAAATTTTATTGTCAAAAAAGTTTCTCTTTTATCACATTTAAGAGCTTGGAGTCTCTGCTAGCTCTGATGGGTTGCTATCATTTGAATATCTTCTAAGTAGTGTCTTGGGGCTAGAGGAAGAATCCCCTTTCTGAAATGGAAATCAAAGCCTTTTCCTGCGGACCTTTTATTCATATCCAGGTAGCAAAAGGTGCCCTTTCCAAAGGCACAGGCTCTCTTTTGAGAATATCTAAAGCTCTGGCCATAATGTTCAGCTTGCAAATTAAAAAACAAAACCAACAACCCACAAAACAAAATGCAAACAAAAGAACCCAAAAAGCCAATCACACAGGGAAAGTGATAATAGGTCTTAAGAGATGGAGGTAGTGGTTTTGATTGTATCATTCTGCTCTACTTATTTCCAAAGTATTTTCTTGCTTTGGGAAAGCCAATTATTGATTCTCTCGGTTGTTGCAAAAAACAACAGCAGCCCCCACCCCATTTTGAGAATGAGGGCTTTATTTTCAGCTTTTGATTTTCTGCGAAGTTCTCCACTATGTGACTGTTGATTCTACAGAAACAGCCAGACTGATCTCTGCTACTTGTGGTGCTTGAAAAGCAAGACAGCTATACTAGGTCTTAGAAGAAGGATCACCCTTCACTAAATGTAGCTTTCTCCACTTACTAATGGAAGGTGTCACTAATCTTTAGGTGTTTATGTGAGGTTCAGTGAATGCGAAATCAATTCTCTAAGTGTGGAAACATTCCTATGCACACAGATAACTCTGTAAGGTTAGGCTTGCTAGAAAGACTGGCCATACAGTATACAAGGAACAAGCTTACAGTAGCAATAAGCATACAGCTGGCATTGTAGAGTGTCTCCTCACCAGGTATAGGAAATAAAATTACTACTAAACAAGTTCTGAAACATTTTGGAGGCTTGATCTTTCTTTCTTTCTAGATTTCTATTGGAAAAAAATAACACTGTTGTGTTCACTGTGCATTTCCGCATGTACTGCTGGACCACTGCTCATTATTAGCCACTTGTCTACTGCCTTTTGGCCAGGTTAAATCCATTCAAGTTGGCTTGGCTGTAACATGTTAAATGTTTTACTGAATTTAGAGTATGTCATGACAGGCTTTATATATGATTGAAAAAGAGGACATTTCATTTATTAGGCATGGTGTGTTGCTCCACTCACTACCTATGGAGGAGGGTGGAACTTTCATCCTTCATTGCTTTCATCACTCTGTTGTACCTGTAAGTTTTCCAGTCAAATATTACAGAGCCGCAATCCAGAATACTTATTTCCCTATGGAAAACCTGAGTGTTAAGAAACTTCGACTTTTAAAGAATTCTCTGTGATTTGAACTAGATATGTGACATCTTAAAATCACTCTGAGAAAATAACATACGATACTTTTTTACCTTAATGAGTACCTACAGTTGTGAAATTAGAAATGCCACTTACATTTTTTTCTCTTTCCTTGAGCACTTTTATGTTCCAAATTTGTCCCTGTGGGAATTATAAAATCTAATAATCTTTGCACCTTACCTCTTTTCTAGGCACTGAACATAGTGCATGTGTCTCAGTCTCCAGGGGTCTAAGTGGCAGCTAGACAGTGACTGAAGAGCTCATATAACCTCCTTGAATTCTTTCAGCTTTTTCTTGCTATATTTTTTCTCTTCAATTGGCTTCTTTCCCCAGAAAGTTTTTAATGCAGTGGGATCAGAAGAAGCTAAGACTCCCTGCACTCTTAGTCGCTGCAGGTGCCACCACATCCCCAGTCACGCAGCCAGCCTGCACACATTCTGCATAGACGCCACACACCAACTTTCTGTTTTCAGATTTCACTTTCTCCAGCAAAAAGCTTTGTGGCCTTCTTGGGATAGAAGGATGTTTTCTAGGAACTGGTGACAGGCCAGAAGCAGTTAGTATGTATGAACCCACAAAAAGCATGTCTGGCCATATGGTGGTGTGAATACAGGGCATTACACCAACTTACAGAAGTAGGTTCACCATGGCAAACAACTGGGACTCAGGCTGCAGGGAAAACAAACATTTGCGACCACTATCACCTCGACCTCAGAAATTAATCTGTGTAGCAGTCAGTTCAATTTTTTCTATCTCACACCTGGTATCTATTTTTGTACACAGTACTGTTTATAAACAGTATACACGTAGATGGTCACAAGTGAGATCAGTTGCAAGCTCCCAGTGTAGCCAGTGGAAGTCTGTTCAATACAGTCAGGGGCACCTGCGACTTTCTTTAGGATGGCTGGTTGATTAAACTTGTATAACATCGCAAAGAAAAAACTTAGTTCCTAGGTCACGCAGACAATAACCTGCACTGTGTACCCCAAATTCTCCTACAACAGCCAAGAGGAGGAAGAGGAGCTCTAGTTTTACAAAACTAACAAAGGCATCATTATAATTATTTGCTTTCTCAGAATGAATTTTGTCCCATTTCTATTAGTGCAGTTCCTCAAGGTCATCCCATTTTTGCTGCGCAGTATCCTCACCATGTTCTGTACAGATGATGCTTTCAAGTTCTGTCTTGTCAGCAAGTTTCATCAGCTCACTTTTACTTTCTGTGCCAAAGACATTAAAGAAAGATACTAAAACAAGATAGGTCTGAAAAGCACCTGAAAAGCACCTAAAAAGCACTTCTAACAACCTGCCTCCTGCTTCAGCACAACCTGCAGCCCGATTGTGCAAAAGACTGGGAATCTGTTGGGGTTTTTTTTGGTCTTTCTAATTTTTTTAAACTAACTCCCAAATAGCACTAAATTGAATGCTTTATAGTGGTTACAGTTGAAAAGATCAGCTACAGTTCTTCTCAGTTGTCTAGGAAAAAAAGTTGGTTATCTTTTCAAACATCAGTTCAATTAGGTGTGACCTAAGTTGCTGTAGCTTTTTATCCTGGTTTTCATTTTGACATCTCTGTCATTATTTTTATAAAATTGGTAATTCAGAGCCTCATGCACATTAAGTCTGCAAGTCTTTGAAGCTGCAGGGATCACTTCTGCCTCTTAAGGAGCAGCCATCAGGAAAGCTCATGTACTGGCTCCTAACACAGAGGAGTTTTCTTATGGGTAACTGGAGGGTCTCTGACACATGCTGTCCATATGCATGCTAATGCCAAGTGTGTGTCCCCTCAGAGACATCAACCACAGAAAATTCCACCAGTAGGAAGGATAGTCTACTACTTTTTCCCAAATGTTAGCATAGATTTTCTACACTGATCTTGACAGATTTCTTGAGTGACAATCTACGATCTGTTTCAGAAACATTTCATTGCTGTGACCATCAAAAAGCACAGAGGACATGCAGTAGACTCATGTTAGTTACTTTAATAAGTAGCATGTGAGAAAAAGTGAAAAATGTCCTGGAAAATAAAATTTTGCAATTCATAATGGCTGATTTACATGTCTTACCCAGTCTCTGTGGAACCAACTTAATTGGCCCTGGCCTGTGTTCTTCCTTCCACTGCTCCAGGTCGTCTAGCTCTTTCTTAGCAACTGAGCAGATACAAAAAGAAACAAATACATGGAAGTTAGAGGCAGTATTAAAAAGCAGGCAGTATCGCTAATTGTATGTAACCCTGAAGACCCATCCAGGAACAGACAAACTTGCTCTCAAGGGGTGCAGGAGTTACACAGTCACTGGAATCATCAGCAAGCCAAGCATTTTGCCTAACTTGTCACTGTATGGTGAGCAAACCCTAGGAATTGACTCCAAAAGCAAAACAAAAAACAGCTAGGAGACTGCAAATAGACTGCTTTTTAACCCTGGGAACCTGTAGGTAACTAACACATTATTTACTCCTGCAGGTAAAGCAGAAGTTGCTACAATTAAGATGTTATTGCTGCATGTAGGGAAATGTTTGTAGTGTAACGCTTCTCAGCAGGGAAATTAAGAGTAATTTTCCCTCCCAGTCACATGCTTCCTAAATAAAAACAGGAGGAATGCATGATTCAGCTTCAAATTAAGACACTTCAACATAGATGTCCACAAATGAGATGGATGGCAAGCTCTCAGTGTTGTCATTGGAAGTCTAGTCAATATAGCCAGGGGCACCAGCCATATGCTCTAGAATGGCTGGTTGATTAAACTGCTTTCTATAATTGACTGACATAGGTAAAAAACCCAACAATTTCTTTCAATAGCAAGGCCCACAAAGTCTATGAAGAGGGGAGCTGTGTTTTATAGTACCTCAGCTGCTCTAGGAGCTAATTTCATTCTTACTAAAACGAACATGAACCATATTTTCTAATGGCAGGCTATGGCTATCAGACACCAGCTCTCCTCTAACAATATAAAGCCAGTCCCTGGGCAGGACTCTAAAGAGGCCCAAGAGAAACACCAGCTTGCTATTTCACCTTTGAAACAAGCAGTTAGGTAGAGACTGGATTCAGTGAGGTCCTATTTCTGCCAGAATCCAAGGCAGTACTTGGCATGCTTCAGACCTTGCATGTTGGTAGGACAAAGTGAAAACAGATCTTAGAGCAGCAGCACCTTTGGTGTTAGCATCAGATTCAGCTCTAAGATGATCTGCTTTTATCCCTCCTTCCAGAAGATTATGGTTTGGTTCAGGAGAAGTCCATTTTCTTTCTTGCAACCAAAGGAAACCCAACCCCACACCACTCTGTCAGTAAAGCATTTCAGCCAAACTCACAATGTTTGAGAAGGAAGAATTTAATTGCAGTGTTTCCTTAAGGGCTCAAAATTTGAGGAGTGCTGACTGACACTCCTTCAGCTTTCATATCTTGCACAAATAAACAGCCAGCAGGGCAGAACTGTAGTGCTTGGTCACCTCTATATACAGAATTTATTTCATGACCAACTCTTGTAACTTCACCAATGAAAGCTTTTTAACACATGCCTAATCTTTCTGGTAGAGGTTCAGGGTGTTACTGTTTAGCTACTTTCACCAGCCGGACTCAAAGCCAAGTAGCAGTGAACTTATATCCACAGATATTTTCCATCTAAAATTATCTTACCCAGCTTCATTAAAAGAGCCACCTACAATCCTTAAATGGAAATTCAAGAACCAATAGTGGTTCTAGTTGCTTTAGTGTCCCCATGAGAGTATTTTCAGAAGTGTTTCTTGCTTATACTTTTCTTCTTCCTCCTAACCCAAAGAGCACTCAAAGTTGGGTTCTCCAGTCTGAATTCAATCCTGTAAAAGTGGGATAGAGCTAATTCCAGCTGAGTCTGGTAGCTGCCAGCTAGAATAGCTCCAGCACTGAAATTATCAAAAACCTTTTCCTGAACCAAACTTATTCTTCATGAAGTTTAGCCAGATGAGAAGTTAATCTTAAGAAAAGCCTGCACAATGATGGATAATGCTCATAGCACTGACTTTACTGCCACAGCTGCACATATAAAAGGACTGTAAAAATGAGGATAAAAGTTGCAAGGGCAATAAAGTTCACAAAACCTTAAACTTATCCAAGTAAAAATAATGTGTTACCATATTAGACAATTCAACTTACTTTGCTGCAACTGGTTTCATCTGGTTTCTTTTGGCATTATCAAGACATATGGGCTGACACTAAAACGAAAGAGAACACTCTCTTATTTTTCCTGCAGGAAAACAGGAATCAAAGGGGTTTCCTTTATCAGCAAGGTCAGTTTTCTGCTGTTGTAGCAAAAAAAAATCATATCAAAATTGGTATTTATTTTGATTCAGCTCTTCAGAAATTTTTGGTAAATATTCTAGAAATACTTGTTATATTTCGATTGGCTGTAACTACAAAGGATAACATTTTCAGACACTTTTAGCATAATCTTCACTTTTCTGATTTAACTCTCCCTCTAGACTGCTGACTTCAAATCTCAGCCACTTCAAATCAAATCAGTTCCTCGAATCAAGCAGTTCTACATGGTGGACAACTACTTCCCTACTTTGGCAGCTTGCTCAAGCACAGAGGAAGACCATTGCCTACTGGGAAGAGCACTGGGGTTTCCAGTCCCACCCCATACCTTGAGGACACCTCATAGATTTAAGCAGTTTGCCCAAAAGTTGTTCAAGGAGCATGCAAAATCATGCTATTTGTGATGGACCCAGGTGACTTGCTCTCAGCCTCAGCCTCAGTTTCCTTGTCAGCCTTGCATTTGTCAGGCATTAGGAATACCTTGGGCATATTTATCTTGCTGTCATGACTAAGGTCCAACTCACTGAATCAGGACAAAGGCCCTATTTTGCTAGACTTAATTCAAAACGCAGTTGCTGTCTCAAGGAGCTATCAATCTAACATGACAGTAAAGAGGCAGGACAGGGTTCAGAGTGTATTAGAGATTTGAGGTGATCAAAAGAGTGATGAAAACATGTCAGTTCTACTTGGAGAAAACATAGAGTTTTATCTACACGGCATATTGTGTGGGTACGAGTTTACACTGCTCGCACTCAGCAGAAACTGAGCCATGAGGACATAGGTCTACCAGAAAAGCACCAAGCAGCAAGCTCACATCTATGCAGCATTTGACAGGGTTTTATCTGCACACATGGGCACAAATAATTCATCTGACTTCATCACGGGAAAGGTCCAAGGAGAAGCACTGAAAAGAAAGACTAATAAGGGGTGATGGCTGAGCTTCTTAAAAGAAAGGGCCACAGGGGGTGGCTAGAGGACAAGCTAGGAAGCAGAGAGAGCACAGTTGACTACAGAAAAGTAATGAGGGAATAAGGCCTGAGACTAAGGTTAAAAAGGGGAACGAAAATCATGCAAAGAGATCAAAGTGCAAAAAACTGCCTGCTGCCGTATCTGTAATTCAAGGTGTGAGAAGGAAAGTATTTATATCCAATTACCTCATTCTCTTTGAAGACTTATTCTAGGAGGATGTGGATTAATTTATGAGATTAAACTAGTAAAGATAGAGCTGTGAGCTTTAATGGTGCCATTTAATGTGATCCTTTCTCGTCCACCAGCTTACTCTGGTGCCCATGAGACTGTTCTTCACCTCTCCACCAAATCCTAGACCCTCAAATGCAGGAGCTCAGAGAGCAGCAACATCCCTCAGGCATTCGTGGCACAACTGCAACAGTTACTTAAAAGAAGTTTTGACAACCCGTCTTGCTTCTGGTATAACATTCTTCATCACTGGTTTTTTTTCGGATTTTTCTTTATTTGACTGAGTAGTGGCATTTACAATTTATCTCAAACTGCCTTTGACAAGCTGTTGTACAGTTTATCAGTTTCAATAATTTTTTTTAGTAGTTTTTCTTGGCTGTTTCAGATATTAAAATAATATTTCTCTCAAGATCATACACAAAGATTATTAAGAACCATTTACACTCCCCTCCCTTTGTCAGTGAAAAAAATGGCTGGAATTGTGAGTTACAAGGCTATATACTTCCTCCAAAAAAATAAACAGTGCATTTTTGACATCTCACTGCTTCACAGCGCTAGAGGGCAGAAGAGTTTTTGTATCATCAGATGTACTTTCATGATTTCAAACAGTGTTTGTTTGGTTGTTATGTTTAAATTAGGAATCAAATTAAACAGAAAGCATGAACCTCTGCGTGTCTGCACACATATGAGAAATCACGACATCAAATTTTGCCCTTATGCCATGAATAATTTCCTTTATCTGCTTCTGCTTTTTGGCTGGAGGGTCCAGAGTCCTGGAGACTGGGTGGGGGGGCCACTGTTCTGACATCTGACCATCGTCGTTATCCAGGAGCTCAGAACAATGGCACATGAAATATGTCAAAGATAATCAGTTTACAGAAGGGATAGAGGTGACACTACATTTACCATCAGGGAAATTTTCCAAAGAGCAGCATAAGCATCATTGTGGCTAAAAGAGTGCTTACTTAAAGGCCAATGTGGTTTCCATGTTATTCAAATAAAGGCAAAGGTAAAATAAAATGAGGATGTCAAGTCACCAGTGGGAGGATGGAAAGTGAGAACAGGATACCAACTTTTGATTGTCTTTTACTTAGTGCTCAGACTACGCACCTTGCTTTAGTCCAAGTTAACAACAACAGAATAAAAGCATCAGTGAGTTTATCTAATTTTATAGTGTTCATCTTGGTCTCTGGAAAGATAGATACGTAAGCATATAGCTTTAGGTACTGGGATCAGGGGGAAGGAAGAATGAGCACAGGGCAAACTTCTTGTGGGACAGGTAAAAGTCAGGACATGAACTGGTCCTTGCTTTTCAAGCCTACAGCAGGAGAGCAGGCAGATGAGTTGTTGCCTGAAAGACTCCACCTGCCATACCAGTTCTAATGCTTAAATTAAAATCTGCACCCAGTGTCCCTTATTTTCTAGAGATTTTTTTTTTAAGGAAAGAAAGCTAATGCAAAAACCCACCAGCAGCTTTCACCTGGTGTTTTTAGCCAGTTCGCAGGATATAGCATGTCATTTCTTTGTTCAAACAAAACCTCTGATCCAGTAAAGCCTATAAAACCAGCTACAGCCTGTCAATTTAATATTCCAGTCAGTTTCTGAGTTGCCACAGTAGCCATAAGTCTGGAGCAAATTATCCTACTTACCTGGGTAGCAATTAAGGAAATGTGAAGATTTGAAGCTACCAGTGATGTGCAGACTTTATGTACTTTATATCAATATATGAAGTACTTCAAAATCCAAAACCAGAAAAGATGATAAAGAATTTAACTTTACAGGTTCTCTAATAATGATTCCTATTTTTATGTGACTTAAGCCTATCTTTGAGGTAGGGTTGTTTTATAAATAAAAATACAGAAGTCTTTGAGGGTGAGCAGGAGAACATCTTACTCAGGTTATTGTTCTTCAAAAGTAGAGAAAAATAATTTTCTACCTTTATAGATCATATTAATCTTGATGAGACTTTTTTGTTTATTTTCTCCACAGAAAATGGGAATGTATTGACTAATACACAGATTGAACAGATATTAATGAGAGAAAGGAAGTTATAACCCAATAAGAGAATGTATCTGAAATAAAACCAAAAGGCAATCTCATATAATTTTTCAAACAGATAGACATCAAATACCACAGTAGTGGGAAGATAAACACCTATATAACTATATATAAATAGAAAGATATGGAAACATTTCTATCAGGAGATACATGGAATACAGTCAGAGAAAAACTGCAAAGATAGTTTACAATTTGAGTGATTGGCAACATGGAGAACATAATGTCTGCAATCTTAAACTGTGAATCCTGTGTGCAACTCTACTCATTTAACTAGCACCACCCAAGGACACCTTTTCAATGCTTTCAAGGGTACAGACCAGAGAAACCTTTGTTCTACTTTCTTTCAGGTTTTTATAAAATGGTTTATTTCTAAAATTGAAAAAACACATGAGAACCGCTGTTCACCAATAATGCTTTTTGCAGCACTGTGCCCTTCAGTTTTTCCTCAAGCCCGCTTCAGCCATCTACCACTGGGGAGCTTTCCAAATGAAGTGTGAAATAGTTTAAAGAGTTACAAAAGTAATGGCTGTTATAAACTATTTCCAGTTCCACTGAGTTTTATACTGCGGGTGCATCGGCACATGAATGCCACAAAGCTGAAAGCTAAATATTTCGCTCTGCTGGGCAGTGTGCTCTCTGTAAGAGACAGAAACCAAGGAGAGTGCAGTTGGAGAGCAACAAAAATGACTAAAGCTTGGGAAAAAGACCTGGGCGGGTTCATTCTGGAGGAAGGGCTCAAGGGAAGATATAGCTGAAATACTGCATTAAATAATATGTTAAGACTGAATTTAAAAGAGAAAAGGGAGCAAACTGCCAAAGACAATTGTTGAATCTCCTTCAAAGATACACTAAGCTAAACTTTGCTCTCAGTTATCAGGAATTGTTTAAGAGCAGTCAACTCAACTCCATCACAAAATATTATATTTACCAGGGCTCCTGTTCTTGATGGAGCAGCCGTATGCTGCTAAGGACCATGGAAGTTGCCAAATCAGAGGGCTACAAGATGCCAAATCTCAGCAAACAGACCACAACTGTCCTGTAGGTATCCCTATTTTGCAATGCCTGCGTGGCCAGATGCTAACGATAGCCGACAGCCACACTTCTAGACTTCAGAGGAGCAATATGCTCTGTGTCCCAACGGTGCCATAAGCAGAGCTCTGGGAGGGTGTACAAACCTTGTGTGCAGGCTTGGGGCTCTGGCTTTCTATCTTTGCCAGCGGCAGCATCTTACCAGTTTGCAGCTCAGAGACAAAAGTGAATTACTGGGGTTTAACATTATACACTGTCTGATTCATCGTAGCTGAGTGTGTGCTCTTAACACGAGAGGCAGGAAACAAACTGTATTAGCAAAAAATGCTTATCATCAATAGTCTATGTTCATGGATTTTGTCCTGTGTTTGCCACAGCCTGGGAGTGCATTTCATTACCATAGCTCAGCTGATGTCTGGATGCTTATTAAGCCAAGGTAACTCACTTCTGTATCTGGTACCTCTGGTTAGCTTAAGCTTTCATTAAAATGGACAACATTTTTGCCATAGTGAGACCTTGGGATAAAACACGGGTTAAATCCTGCAGAATGAAAGAGTGAGAAGGGAAACAGCAGCAGAGAGTGGCCCAGGAGAAAGTTTTAGTCAGAAACAAGCAAGAAAGCAACAGAACCGAGGGTTCTGCTGCTGGCACCCAAATCTCAATTTTTCCATACCCACAAGCTTGTAGAGAAATTCCTGAAGTTAAATTTGGTCAAAAGAGTAAAACTGAAACTTGGAACTGAATTTCCTCAAGTTAAGGCGAGGCTCAGATTTAGCAGCTTGGTCTGGGCTCAGCACGTGATAGCAGAGTGGAAAGAGCGACAGGTGCTTCAGCCGGCACCCCATTTGGTGCAGTAAACACATCGGTGCTGGAAGACAATCCCAACCACCCTCTAAAGCTCCAAGGAGGTTGTTACAGTGATGGATCAAATCAGAGACCCAGGGGGTAGCTCTCAGCCGAAATGCAGCTCACAGCTTTCTCTCTTCCCTGAAAGCGCAAATGTGCCAATAGTCAGCATACGCTCCTGGCCAGATGGCACCAAAGGGAGAGGGTTTGCTGTGGCAGTGTGGCAGACTGACATTGGACCCAACAAAGCCTATGAAGGCAGATGTGGCCATGCTTATGCTGTCTCCAGGCCCCAAAGCAGCTCAGTTACCTCAGCTCAGCACAGTGCTAGGGATGCGGCAAGAGTGCCAGAACCAGCTGGAGCACGTGGTAATCACCAGCCATGAGGAGCACAGAGCATTTATACATGGGCAGGACTGTCTCTGGGCTTGGCAGCACCAACTCTGAGCTGAGTTACCGCTCACAGAGGGGTCCATGTGTTGCCAGTCATGCTTGCCAGCAAGCCTGGAGAGCAGAGTGGGTCAGACGCTATATCAGATGAAGATTAAAACTTAAGCCAGTGCCATGTTCATCTCTGGTTCTCCTTTCTTTTCAACAATATATTTCCTCCTCCTCTGCCTCTGCACCACAGTATTTGTTGTCCTTTCATTGTCCCTGCCCAAACACAGTGTCCTCCTGTATATTCCTTTTTCATCATCTCACCATAGCCCCTCATTGAGCTGTGCATCAAGGGAACATGTCAAGGCTTGTGCAAACCAAGCACTTTTGAAAAAGCCTTTCTAATACCAGAGTTAAAAGGACTTCCCTCCCCCCCATACACATTATGAAGAACACAGCAACCTTCACCATCCAGACCAACAGAAATCTTACTGCGTAGTTCTTTCACATGGACTCAGTCTCCAAACACTTGGCTGGAGGCAAGGCTGGCTACTGACCACTTCAAAACTGGGCATCTCTGAATTGCCCTACTGTGCTGTAAAGATTAGTCCATCAGTTGGCAGATTTCTTCTGTGCAGCAAATGCAGAGCTCAACTCTAAACCAATTGTCCATAATTCAAATTACCTTTCTGGTACTCCCATCAGTGGCAGGGCAGTGGGCAAAACAAGCATTTTGCTAAGCATCTGTCTCCAGTTTCATAGACTAATTCGGAGTTTTTAAAGAGAAATTTCAGATCATGAAAGAAAATATAATTTTCAGAAGAACTGCTAAGTATACTCTATCAGTAAAAGATTGAGAGGTCTAACAACACTATAGATATTTATTTTTTTTTTTAATTCAGGATGAAGATTGGAAAAGGAAGGAAGGAAAGAAAGCCCTGGTGGATTTGGCTTCTGCAGACAAAGAATACAATTTCACGAGTCAAGCATTCTAGTAACTCTGCTCTCCTTTCACATGAAATGATGAGAGACTGTTACCAGCTGTGCGACAATATATCTTCAGAGTTTATTATTTTGAATTTGATTTTTTAATGGATTTTACAAGAACCAATATTATTCTTGTCAGCTTTAAAGGCACCAAGGATGGACTACTGAATGGGGGCAGCATTTTCTTTTTCAGGGACTAGCTATAGTTCAGCCTTTGATTTCCCCACTTCCTTCCACCTTTTCTTCTGTACAGACTTTTGTTTCTGAATAGACATGAAGAGGGACAATTTGGGAATTCACTTTCTACAAGTTAATTTCATGGCACTTAGCAGACAAAGTGAAGTAACTTTAATGCAAGCTTATTATTACAAGCAGTTTCAAGCACTTGTCATCTGATTTTTTTCTCCATGGCCTGAAACCACATCCTGTACAGAACTGGAGGAGGATCTGCAAAGTTTCATTTCAATTTTGCATTTCAACAAGTATTTTTCTTAACTTAATTAGGACCATTTTATTATTACTTCACAGCCTCGAGAAACTATATAAGGGCTTTTCCAAAGCAAGAGAAAAATTACTCTCTAATACCAGTTGCCCACCTTTTTGCTATTATATATACTATTAAAGTACATTATACTTTTTAATAGTCAAGTTTGAGTATTGACTAGTGGATGAGACTACAACGTGCCATGTCCCACACATATTTCATGTGTCCAGCGCAGATGAAAGGTCATCTCATCTCACCCTAAGATACTGTTAAGGTGTCTTCCCACTCCCAAATGCTCCGAAGCACAGCCTGAGATGGAGAGTGTGTGTGGAAACAGCTCACACACATACTCAGAAGTTTCAACAGAGATTCTGACTCCTGCTTTGCTGGCAGCAAAACCATATCCTGTCTGTTTCCAGAAAACAGCAAGCAGCACACAAGTTGGAGTACAGCCACTCCTTGGCACAGAGCTATTCTACTTAGGACCCTCATGTTCCTTCTGCTACACATATTCCAGAAACCCTTCTAGGTGAATGCTAGTCTCTGCAATTTTGTTTCTGCTGGCAACCTATGATGTTAGCTCCCAAACTGCTCTGTCCAATCCTTGGTTATCCCAGAGTCTGAAAACCTGGGCTATTCCGAGAGTGTCCTAACATTTTAGTTTTAAGAATGATGTTCAAAAGGGCTGATGCCTAAAAGGCTGACTCAGCTTTATCACTGCTAAAGTATTTTAATCTGAGATCTTTCTTGAAATGTAACTTGAGATAACAGAACAGGGATATAACAATGAATGAAATAGTTATTTTTTGTTTTAAGAATAAAGATGTCCCCCATCTGCTTCAGTATTTCATGTATCATCTACCACTTTAATCTGAGTTAGTTAAGGAAATCCCAGTTTAAGCAGCTTCATTTTATTAAAACTGACTGTGAGCATCCACCTCCTTGAGGATAAGGAGCAAACCCCAGTCTTGTTCACTTCTGTTTTTTGAGAACTTGTTTCTGACTCATATTACATGGTTTCTCTTTGAACCTGCCTTTCCCTCAGCACTCCTCCTCATTAACTACATACTTTAATTTCTTTTCTCCAGGTTTAGGAATGAATTCTTTGTTACAGCTTTATGAAGACACAGAAATAATCTTTTGTATCAAATAGCAAAAAGTATGAAGCACATAGTCCCTGCAGTAGATACACACCACCTCTCTCTCTGCAAGCATCATATAAATATGAAAGAGGGTACAGGGATTTAACTTATTCTTCTCAAAAAACTTGCCTAGTTTTAGGGAGGAATCTCATAATCTGGTTGGAATCTGTGTGAACATATTTGTTCTAGCCTTTAATTCTGCGAGGAGCACAGATGAACCAACTGATTAAATATTTACCTAATCTATACCAGGGACAAAATCCGGGAAAAAAACAGTTATGTCAATGGGAGAACTCCCACTATTCTGCCCCTCCTTCAAAAAAGGTGAAAAATTGTACATCTCACAAATAGTTAACTAGGGCTATTCTCACTGTACTCTGGATATATGCCAGTGTGAGGGCAGGCAAGGCAGAGGGTCTTTCATGTTTGGAAGTGGCAGAAAATAAACATAGACTGTAACTCAGGAATGGTTGGCTGCTCTCCTGAAAATCAGTCATTAAAGCACTGACGGATTTCAAAGCTACCCAGCTCTTAATTGTCCATGTATCATTACTACCTGGTAGGCAAGCATTCATGAGTTACAATGGAAAGCTGCTGATCACTGCTTGTGAGCAAGCAGCTGCCACCTCTCTCGAAGTGCGGCTCCACCTTCTTCAGCCAGTAAGAAGAAAAAAGAAACTGAAATAGCCTTCAGTTTCCCTCAGCTGCACTTTGAAAGGTGGGGGGGAAAAAAGACAAGCTAAGCGATCTCAGCACATAATAATAACAGCATTACATGCACTGTTACTAATAGCTCAGAAAGAGCACATTTGGGGAAAAAGACTGTAAACAATTCGCTTTGGTCAGCTAAGCATATATGTATTAAGCACATGTGCATAAAATGCACACTCGCTACTGTCAGTTTCTGTTTGGTATTATATCTGCAAGCTAGAGCTTATACAAGCTATCTAAGAATTGTCACTGGAAAACCAGAAATGGACTGAGCATAGATCTCACCAAAGCCTAAAATAAGACTGAGGGCTGAAGCTTTGGCTTTACTTTTGTCAGCATGAAGTTGTTGGAAGCTGTTCTGTATCCTGGACTGCATTCAGATCTGTGCTGGAATGTAGCCTATATCCATCTCTTAAGCCAAAGGAAGTAGTTTTAGACTTTCCAAGATGAAATATTAGGAGACAGAAAACAGAGGGGTAGAACCAGATTTGAAATTTCACTTTGAAAAAAGATGCCAGGAAACTGACACTCCATATGGCAATATCAAACATACAGCACCATCCACTGCTATCGCACGAGATGTAAGCCATGCCATGAAGCCTGCCTGAAAAACTGGGGTGCCGTGCCAGAAGCGGCATTCATAGGTAGGCTTCAGGCCGACCACAGGTGGCTCTGAGAGCACAAAGACAAGCTGCCTGTGCATCCAGTCCCATTCACAGGCTCTCTATTATGTATTTCCACCTTTGAAGGTGCTCACCTAGAGTAAGGTGGAGATCAGGCACCTGATACACATAACACATCTCAGTCAGGCTCCTTATTACTTACTGCTGCTCTTGCTGGTGTTGGTAGACTGATGCTTGGCTCCTATGCTCCTCTTCAGATGTTTTCCACTTCTGAGGGTTTTCAGCTTCTTTTGTTTTATTGTTGCCACCCCAGAGATAACCCTGAGAGGATAATGGGGTACTGGAGGCAGCAGCCATCCTGTATCTGCTGCTTTCCCTCCATCCTCCAACACCAGACATTTCTTCAAGAGTACCTTGTCTTGTCAGCAAGGAGTATTGCAGCTAAAGCTAGGGAGAGACTCAAAACTTTCAGTTCTTACAAATCTGTTTCAATTTCCTGTAAGTCCTGTCCCTGGCTGGACTCTCAGCTGTAAGACATGCAACAGCATGCACTGGTTTCTGAGCCACTTTTCAATTGAGACTCAGTTTGATCATCTCAGCCACAGTACCCAGGCATCTGGAGTCACAGGGTGATAGCAAAGCTGATCTATACCAATAAAACAGTCAACAACAGTTTATGCAGTCTTGGAATACACTGCTTCAGCATAAGCATAGTAAAGTATGGCTGAAAGTCACATTTCTGACCATTTTTTACCCCAGCACTTAAAATTTGCCTCTGATGTAGGTGAATAACTCTTAGAGGTGTGCTGGTTTTGGCTGAGATAGAGTTAATTTTCTTCAAAGCCTCTAGTATGAGGCTACGTTTTGGATTTGTGCTGAAAACAGTGTTGATAATACAGGGATGTTTTTGTTGTTGCTTAGCGGTGCTTACACAGAGTCAAGGACTTTACTGCTTCTCACATCACCCCACCAGCAAGGAGGCTAGGGGTGCACCAGAAGTTGGGAGGGGACACAGCTAGGACAGCTGACCCCAACCGACCAAAGGGATATCCCATACCGTAGGATGTCATACACAGCATACGAAAATGAGGGAAGAAACAAGAAGTGGGGGACATTAGGAGTTATGGTGTTTGTCTTCCCAAGTAACCATTAAGCACAAGGGAGCCCTGCTTTCCTGGAGATGGCTGAACATCTGCCTGTCAATGGAAAGCACTGAATGGATTCCTTGTTTTGCTTTGCTGTGTGTGCATCTTTTGCTTTACCTATTAATCTGTCCTTATCTCAACCACAAGTTTTCTCATTTTTATTCTTCTGATTCTCTCCCCCATCCCACTGTGGGGGAGTGAGTGAGCTGTTGTGTGGTGTTTGGTTGCTGGCTGGGGTTAAACCATAACAGGGAGATTTGCTGGTTTCTAGTTTGCAGGATCATACAACAAAAGATGAAAGTGAAACTGAAAACTAACCCTCAAATAACTTCCTATGGCAATGGTCCTGCATAACTCCAATTCAGACTTTTGACTCTGCTCAATCAGGAATTGTTTTGCTTTCACTTTCCTAATTCTACCTGATAAATAGAGGAAAAATATGTGATCATCTAAAGCTAAAATGCAGATCCCTTCAGTGACCATATATGACCAGCAGTATTTTATCTATGGGATTTTGTACTATGACATCTGCAGAGCTGGGGAAAAGCAGCAACCTTCTTAATGCCACTAGTAAAATAAAGATGTTTGGCAGCTCTTAACCCAAGAAAAAAAGAACTAGTAATGCTACTCAAGCTTTATGCAGTAGAGCTAGGAAAATTCAGCTCCATACCTGCAGGTCCTGACTATACCAGATTTCGTTTCCTCCACCCTAAACATCCCTCCAACACTGTCACAGTGATCTCCACATCTCAAATGCATCCAATGCACCTCTCTGTTGTACTCCACAGTACATCATTCATCAGTCCTTCAGTTTCATGCTACTAAAACACAACTTTGTTGGGCTGCAACACATCCCTCACATTGCTTCAGACACATTGAGCTGAAATATCCCCCAAAATAATAATTAAGTTTCAGAGTCACAGCAGTACTACTTAAGGCTCTCAGGACACTTGGAGCTTAAGTGCTGTGTAGTAAGGATATGTGTATTGCCTCCACTAGGCTTCTCCAAGCCACTTAGACTCCTACTGCAGTGGAGGACAGCCTTCGGCAGCATACATATGAGGAAGTCTGTGCCAGCTGAATTTAGGACAAAGGCTAAGTCTCTGGCCCTATTTTGTTTAGCATTGTAGAAGCTAAATAGATGCTAAAAAGTCTGTGCTTCCTATGTATCATAATGTCAATGTAGTCAGCTTCCTTCAACATGCAAATCTCAACCTTTCCCAAATCTTCCATAAGAACTTTAACTCAGTACTTACACTTTTCTAAACCCACCAAATATTGGCTACTTATTCTATCTGCTGGTTTATGTTCACAGCTGTCGTACATCCCTAACGGAGTCCGATGTGTGGTGCATTGACCCTTGTTAGCAGGCAAGTACACACACACCTGGTGGCTCCCTCCCTCCCTGACAGAAGAAAAGAGTGAGAAAATTCATCTATCAAAACAAAGCTTTTTATCTGTAAAGGTCAGTTGCCTCCAGCTACTAACATTTTTTTTGAAATTTTATTTTGTGGGAGGAAAATCTTCCATAGAAAATGATCTTTCTTTTGCTATGAGAAAATCCTTCAGTGGACATGTAATATATTAAAAGTCACTCTATTCCCTCTTTCACCTGTGTTTTTCGTGAAATTACAATAATAAACAAAATAACTTATGTGGAGGAACATTCTGTATTGAACCTTCACTTCCAACTCAGCAGAGCATGAACTATACCAAACATGAAAGAAATCAGGGATCCTTTCTCAATATAAAGGATACCCAGAAACCTGGTCAGCCACCTCATCCTTTCTTTGGGAATGTGAGATGGGATAAAACTCTCTTCTATGGAAGAAATAGTATTAAACAACAAAAATAGTATTTATAACAATGTAATGTTCCCTAGATTTCCTTCCCTGACAACACCTGTTCTTCATTTTTTCAATATCAATTTATGGATTTTAAGGTGTTGTACTTTTATGTTTTTCCTGCAACCACAAACACTTTTCATTAAAGGCTAAGTTTTTCATTTAAACTGAGGAGACTAGAAGCCTAAAGCCTGTAGAAAAGCATAAAACTGCAGGAGACTTTTGAGAAAGACAGCCAGGACAGGCTAGATTTCCTCTGTTTTTTCCCAAGAGCTAGAAAATGGTATCACAAAGCCCTAACTGCTGGAGAACTACCATTTCCTTTGCCATCAGCTAAAATACTTAGTCCTACAGCTGACTATGATGCTCAAAGGTTCACACACATTGCTTTCTCCCTGGATATTTTGGCTAAGTAGGTAAGACATACATCTGAATACGCTACAGAGCATACAAGTGTAATTGATCATTGGGAACATCTGGCTATACTTTAAGGTAATGACAAGGGATAGCAAATATACCTAGAAGCATATCATAGAATCACAGAATGGTTTGGGTTGGAAGGAACCTTAAAGATCATCCAGTCCAACCCCCCTGCCATGGGCAGGGACACCTCCCAACAGACCTGGTTGCCCAAAGCCCTGTCCAACCTGGCCTTGAACACTTCCAGGGAGGGGGCACCCACAGCTTCCCTGGGCAACCTGTGCCAGTGTCCCACTACTCTCAGAGTAAAGAATTTCTTCCTAATATCTAATCTAAATTGAACCTATTTCAGTTTAAAGCTGTTGCCCCTCATCTTATCACTACACTCCCAGGTAAAGAGTCTCTCCCCATCTTTCCTGTAGGCCCTCTTCGGACACTGGAAGGCTGCTATAAGGTCTCCCCGAAGCCTTCTCTTCTTCATGCTGTCTGTAATCAGCACTACATATAGTGTTCTTATACCAGGATGGCAAATTGAAAATTGAATTTTTAAAGACACATTTTACCTTACTAAGGTTTTCCTTGCTAAGTACTCTAGCTTGCTGTATAATTAGTGGTGAATGGAAAACCTTAAACTCAATAACATAATAATATTGAGCTTGACTTTTAAAATACTCAATCTGAAACATGCTTATAGTCAGCAAAATAGCTGAGCTCACCATAGATCCAACCCACAAAACATTAATATGAATGAATGCTGCAGGATCACTTTTAGTTTTGCACACTTCACAGAAAATGTTTTGTTAGGAGCATGATTGCTGTGTTGTGAGGACAGCGCATTTTGCAGGGTTGATAGCGCTAATTGTTACAGCTCAGGATGCTGAAGAAATTTCTCTGCTCCCTGGAGAGATAGCCCCAGAAGGAGGGTGAATTGTCAGCATTTGGCCAAGATTTATTCTTGTTTAGATTTAGGACTGGAATTTGTCAGGCTCAGCAGAAAGAACACCATTAGCTTTGACAAGTGCGTGTGTGGGTCAGTGCTAGGTAATCTGTTTAGGAGATGTAAAATGCTGCACACACTTCCCATTTTATTACAAAACGCTGAAATTGACAGCACTTGTCAAAAACTATCATCTTCCACTCTTTGAAAGAAAATTGACCCTTGCTTTCTCTGCAGTATCCTTCAGCATTAGAGCAGGTCCACCTCTCCTTTAGCTAATACTACTTTAGTAAAAGGCAGTAGAGAATATAATTGACCTGATGTCCAGAACTTGCTATATTGAGGTCCTGAAGTAGTGCCTGAAAATTATTGCTACATTTTAGTGGTATTCTTATGTCTGAATAGTGTTATGCATACCTATATTGCTATATAAATAATACTACATAATAAAGCAGGGCTATTTTAAAGGTCTGATGTTATAAAACCAACCAGAACTACCAATGACTGTTTTATACTATTAAAAATTCCTGCCACAAATCTATTGGAAAATAGAAATGCAAAATTAACTGCAAGCTACACAAATGCTTTCAGAAAGAAAGAAGCCTTACAGCTATTTCTCCACCATTGTGGCCAGAAGGGAAAAGTCCTTGAGAAGTCTAACAATATTAAAATAATACTTGTAAAATTCCTGAATATATCTTTTTCTCAAGAGTTTTTAAAGCAGAGGAGATTTACTTGCACATAAATTATTTTAACACTCTTATTCACAAATATGACTGATGATCTTGCTGTATATACCATCTTCTTCAAGGAATAATTGAACTCTTGTAATTCCTGAAGGCCATGATTAGTTCCGTCTTAGGATTTTGTATAATATACTTCCCTGTGGTACCTTGTCGACCAAAGGTGTCATACAGACAATTATTGTAGTGTCTAGAAAGAACATTACAGTCTTTATTGTTTCATGTTTTGGAATATGTTACTTAAAGAAATTAGCAGAAGTCCACAGCTCATGCCTCTCTTTTGCTGTTACAGTGTATTGCAATAATTGCA